TTGTTGTTGTTTTACAGATTTGTAAAAGTCCGAGGCCTTCAAGCCACGATCAACCTGATGGTTCCTGAAATAACTGGGAAAACAAATGCTTCAAGTGTCAGTTGAAGAGTGCGTCTATGTATATTTGAAACCTTCTTTCTATATATACGCATTTACATGAGAAGACAGGTTCATTCTTGTGCACGTCTGAGAGTTTTACAACTGATGAAAATTAATTTAAGAATCAGATGGAGCAACTTGACACTACTGGGCTCAGGAGCCCAAGGAGAAAAGTATATCACTAATGGCCAATTTTACATATGGCCTTCATGGGTAAAGAGAATTTGCAAAAAGAAGAAAAAAATTTGTATAGATTAAGCCTCAAAAATACCTCTCCTTAAAGAAGGTGATCAGAGAAGTGAGAAGGTGAACACAGAAGTGTGAATTCAAGCATTGCAGGTGGGATCATGCAGTGTTTTTGCACTTTATTTTTTTATTGGGTCTGATGATTTGGACAGAGTTAAAATTCTGGACTGAAAAGTAACTTTTACTGTGGTTGTGACTGGATGAAAGCAAGTTCAGGTGTGATGGGACGAGTCTGAACATTAAATTGATTCCATCACTTTGCCTTTTTTAGTTAACTGTATTTGAAGATTTTAGTTTATTGTTTTCCTTTTCTGTACCTATAGAATAATATCTTAATATAGCAATTGGAACCAATAATTACAAAAGTAAACATCAAGGAAAACCCAAGCAAAGCTTCCTTTTGCTTGGACGAAAGGCGTGGAAACAGGCTCTGAATGTGAATAGGAAAATACCCATCAGCACAGTGACTCTAGGGAAATGGTGCAGTCTTGGGGACTCTGATCATAGGTGGGGTGTGTGGTTAGAGGGTTTGTTAGCTGTGTTGAGTCTAAGAAGACTTGATATGAGAAAATTACTTGATAGACTCAATCCTGAGATTAGTGTTTTTTTTAAAAAATTTTTTATTGAGGATGAAAAAAATATATCAGCTTTAGGAACAGAGAAGTAACTGGGAAGTGAGAAAGAGTAACAAAAGAAAGTCCAGCAATATTCTGTTAGCAAGCAGAATTAGCACTACCCTAAGGCAGACACTAGGTCTACTTTAATAACTTTAGACTCTGCCTCTGCTGAAGGACCTTGCTTTCTAGCCTCTATGGCACTGAGGGATCTGCTGGCTGGCAGAAGAGTTGTCCCAGCGAACCCTGCGTTCCCCAGGGACACAGGGCCCAACATTATGATAGGAAATTTCCAGTTCTGAACAGCAAAAAAGACAGCAAGGAGGTTTTTCTTCCTAAAATTGAATTGCTGTCTGCACAAACTCTGGTCTGTTTTGCACAGTTTGTGTGCCTTTCTTTCCCTTTATGCAATCTTTTTCAGCTTTTGCAGCAGAAATTTGTCTAGTTCAGAAAACATGCCAGAGGGTGGCTTCAGAAGGAAGATGATCCTGTATGTTTTGTCTCTACAGCTGAACTTTTGAATAGAAAATTCCAGCTAGAGGGATTCTTTAAGCCTTAAGTTACTTGAAATCTATGTATTCAAAACTCTTTGTCTCTGGAATTACATTACACAAAACTGGAATCTCAGGCTGAATGAGAATAATTAAGTTGAGTGAAAAAGAAGAAATACTGATCACCACTAATTAATGATGCTCTTTCTCCAAAGGATCAGCGCATTTTTTCTCTAAGGACTTGAAAATAAAAATGGACCCCATGTTTTTTTTTAAGCATTACCTTTTCTTAGCAGACTGCCATCATCTTTTATAGAGGAATTTTTTCACTATGCATTTGATGGATCTTTATAAAATACTGACCTTCTAATTAGCTCCAGGTCAGTCTTAATTAGAAGGGGGTGGGGAAAGACAAGAACATCAACCACAAAAATAAAATAAACCGAGGAAAGAAATTGGTTTAAAAACTTCAGCATTAAGCATTACTTTTTAGGTAAAACAGTTCATTGAAAAAAGTATGTATGCAGCAGTGGAACATGGACCTGTGCTTTGCAGCGACTCCAACATCCTCTGCCTGTCCTGGAAAGGTCGTGTTCCCAAGAGTGAGAAAGAGAAGCCTGTGTGTAGGAGGCGTTACTACGAGGAAGGCTGGTTGGCCACAGGCAACGGGCGCGGCGTAGTGGGAGTGACTTTCACTTCCAGCCACTGTCGCAGGGACAGGAGTACTCCACAGAGGATAAACTTCAACCTGCGGGGCCACAACAGTGAGGTGAGCTGTGATTTTTATTTTGCTTTTTTGCTTGGTAACTTCAGTTGTCTTTTTTAGTTCTCTTGGATTTGAAACTTCCTTTGCTTCAGTTTCTTGGAAAGACTTGCTAGTGAGACTCATTCTCTTAAATTGTGTCTCCTGTGCTCCAGCAAGAAAGATGCTGAGGTCATCACACAGTTCACAGTAGTCTGTCTCTCCCTATTTGGGTCAGTTGTCTCCCACATCCCTGTTGTCCTCTCTGTGCCTGAGAGCGGTTGTTGCCTGCTTGATGCCCAGTAATGGGGAGGCCAAGATGCTTTCTGTCCATGATAGGAGTGAGTTTCTCATGCTCCCAAGTCTCCACAGTAAATACCTGCATTTCTTTGGTGAGGGTTTAACACTTGACTTGTATTTCTTGGAAGTGAAAAGAACTCATTAATTGGACAACAGCCATAATTTTTCCCAGCTAAGAGGGTCTGCTACATTGAGATTATTATGCTATTTGTACATACAGATTTCTTTGGTCTTCTGAAACCTGAATTGTATTATCCATGAAGTACACCGTGCATTTCAACTAACATTTACTGAGTAAGGCTTACCTGTTAGGTACTTGTTTAAAAGAAGACCGTGGTTGATAATTTCTTGTAAATATTGTTGCAAATATATACTTGTATAGTAGTTTGACAATATTCATGTTTCATTTTTTTTGTGGAGGTGTTTTCTTATGAGTAGTTCATGCCTGCTTCAAGCATCTGAAAATGTTATTTATGGTTATTGAAAAGCTGTTTTAGAGGAGCAAGAATATTTTTAACTATGTCTTAGTCCATGTTGTGGTTTGTCTAGTTGTCCCCTCAAAGCCTCCTGCAGCCCTGCTGTGATTTCTGGAGTTGTGGTGATTGATTATTGTGGGTGTGGATGCTGCACCTGCCCTGGGGCAGGTAATTTGCATTACAATGTAGGGAGGATTGAAAGGTGGCTAGCTAGCTGCCTGAACTGCTGCCACTCCCTTGCTTTCTTGTTCTTTGCCATCAGCATGAAAGGCTGTTGTCTGTGGTGAGCCCCTCTGCCTGGGAGCTAGCTGAGTATGGACTGAAACCTCCAGTAACTGAGCTAAATAAATAAACCTTTCCTTCCTTCATTTTTAGTGTCAGATATTTGTGCCAACAATGAGAGAGGAGTAATTGAGATGGTCCATTTATTTAGCCTGCTGTAACAAAATAATGCAGATTAGGTAACTAACTCACTTATAACTTAGTATTCATAGTTATGGAGGTTGTAAGTCTGAAATCAGGCAGTCAACTTAGATTCTGATAGAGACTCTCTTCTGGATTGCACAGTGATGTTTTCTCTTTAGTGGAATGAGGGTGAGCATTTCTCTGAGACCTCTCAGGAGATTACCAGTTCCATCACTTCCTAAAGCCCCATTGAGGCATGCATTTCAACATAGTATTTTGGGCAGACTACAGTATAATATACGTTTAAGTGTTAGTACATTGTGTACGTCTCAATGATGGTTTGTATGTACAACTAACTATGAAAGCTCAGCCAGATCAAAGTATAGAACAATTTTAGCAACCATTAGATGCTTCTTCAGTATTGCTCCTTCCCAGACTTTATATTTCATCATAGTTCATTTTTGCTACTGAAACAAAATACCTTAGAATGGATGATATATAAATAACAAAAATTTATGATAGTGTAACATTGCAAAGTTTAACAGCATTCTAGCAGTCTGGTGAGGAATTGCTTACTGCTTTATAGATAGTGCCCTGTGTTGGTCCAAGAGATAACACTGTCTCCTTCACCTCTTTTTTTTTTCCCCTGAGGGCAAAGTCTTTCTATGTGATCCAACCTGACCTTGAACTCACTAGGTAACCTGGGCTGTTCTGTGTCCTGAGTACTGGGATTATAAGCATATGCCACCATGCCCATCTCCCTCAGGCCTTTTTTTTTTTTTTTTTTTAATTTTATTTATTTATTTGTGTGTGTGTGTGTGTGTGTGTGGCCAGCTCAGCCCACCAGGGGGCGGCGCTGGCTGGCATGTGGTGCTGCGGGATTGAACCGTGGTCCCTGTGCTTTGCTAAGCTTGTTCTAAGTAGGTGCTTTAGACCACTGAGCCACCTCACCAGCCCCTCCCTCAGGCATTTTTAAATTAATTAATTAATTAATATTTTTTGAGACCCCTGTGTAGTTCAAGGCTGGCCTCAAATTCAGTGATCCTGCTGCTTGAGCCTCCCAAGTGCTGAGATTACAGACATGTGCCACCACACCTGGTTTTTTAAAGCCTGTTTTATAAGGGCACTAATTCCACTCATCAAGGCAGAGCCCATGTCTCTCAATTGTGTTCTAAAATGCATAGCTCTTAATTTCATCACAGTGGTGACACATTTAAGTCATAACATATTTTGAGTTTATGGCTTCTTTCATCATAGAATTTGTCAGAATTATCCTTGTTGCTCATAGCATTAGTTTGTTTTCTCCCCCCTCCCTAAGTTGGCTTCAAACTCATAGAAATCCCCCTGCCTCAGACTCCTGATTGTTAGGATTACAGATGTGCAGCACCATGCCCAGCTTAGTTTGTTCTTTTTAATTGATTTTCAGTTTCATTTCATTTCATTTCATTTCATTTCATTTCATTTCATTTCATTTATTTCCTTCCTTTCTTTTTTTGGTGGAACCGGGGATTGAACTCAGACCCTTGCACTTGCCAGGGAAGCGCTTATTTCACTGAGCCATCTCCCTAGCCCCTTCATTTTCTACTAAAGGAAGATAACCCTAAGTTTTTCCATTCTTCTGTTGATAGACATTTGGACTGTTTTCAGTTTTGGGCTACCATAATACAGCTATAAGTATTTGTCTGCAATGCAGATCTTTCTGTAGAATTTGAGTCATACTAATGTCATATGAAGTTTGACAGTTTTGCTATTACCAAATAGTTTGCTGAAGTGGTTGTACTGTTTTATACCTTACCATCAAGGTATAAAAGTTTTGATTTTGAAACTAGGAATATTTTGACATTATTTTTTTAATCTGAGTTTAATTCACTGAGAACCTTTACTGGGCTTGAACTTTTGTTTAAAAATAAGGGTGCAAAGAATTATGTTTTATGATATTGTCGTCCAACAGTGGTACCATACACAAATACATTACTGTAATTAAGTGGCATCTCTTAAAAAATTCTAATTTTCTGTTGGTATATAATAAATTACCACAAACCTGATGGCTTAAACCAACACCTATTTCAAGTTTCACAGTGCTTAGGTCTGAAATCTTGACATAGTGTGGATTGGCTTCGCCTTGGGCTTTGACAGGCTTGGAGATATGCCACCAGCTGAATTGAGAGCACCTCTGTGGAACTACTTTAGGTTTATTTTGTGTTCTGTGATAAGGGACAGAACTGCTATGGAGGGCTCAGGCTCCAGGTCTGCTGTACTGAGCTTGAAATGACTGGATGGATGGGTGGACAGATGGATTGAGATAGATGGACGGATGGATTGAGATAGGGACTCACCTTGCAGTTGAGGCCTTGAACTCACTATATAGTCCACGCTGGTCTTAACTAGTGTCAATCCTTTTGCATCAGCCTCCCAAGTGCTAGGATTACAGGCATGTGCTACCATGCCTGGCTACCTTAGGGGAGATTTGAAAATCCTTGTTGATTTAAAAACATTTATACAATGGGCCGGGGAAATGGCTTAGTAGAATAAGCGCTTCCCTGGCAAGCGCAAGGGCCTGAGTTCAATCCCGGACTCTGAACAAAAAGAAAAATTATACAGATTTAACATATGTAGGCTAATTCTAGTGAGTAAACTTGGCTCACTTTGGTTAAAGGCAGCAAAAACTCATAAAAAATTTTGTATCTTACAAATTATGGAAGGTGACTTGTAATAGATTTGTGATCACCACTTATGAGAATATAGCGATGGATTTATTTTCCTTAGTGTTTCTTGATCCCAAGAAGTTCAGGCGAAACTACTTGTTTACTTAATAAATTAAAATAATTTTTTTTAGAGTTGTGAGAATATATGTGATGATACACAATTGAAAGGGTTTTAAAATACAAAAATGTCATGTTCATAAATTAGAGTACCCCTTGTATGTAACTACTACTACTCAGTTCTTATAATATCACCTCGTATCTGGAAATTCAGTAACTATTCTGACTCTTGGAGTCTGAGATATTACTTCTTGATTTCTGTTTCAGTTTAGATTGGAGAACACTACATACAATATATTGATTCTGGCTGCAGTGTGTACTTACTACTGTGAAGCAAAAGAAATCCCAAATTCACTTCATGGACTTTGCAGTCTAGCAGTAGAAGTGAAGTATGTACTTGGTATATCTTTCTCCATTTGCATTTCAGTTCAGTTCAGAAAGAAAGAATTAGGTTGTTCAAGGAGTTAGGACAAGCCTAATCAGGGATTGTGTAGTAAAGAAGACTTGAGCAGGGCCTCGAGAAATAGAATTTAGACATTATTTTTCTCAGTAAGGCAAGAAGAATAAGCTACATTCTGGCTTCAGAGAAGAATTTTTTTGTCCTTTGTGAGATAGGGCCCAACCTTAGTATACATTATATTCACCTTGTCAGATCCGATTCAGGCATTCTCAGGAAGATGATTTTGTAGTCTGGCTAACAAGGACAGTGACCTACACATTTTTGCCTGCACTGGAACAGAATCACTTTCACTGGGTAGGCAGTGATTTTTTTTTTTTTTTTTTTGGTGGCACTGGCATTTATTATTATGTGCCCTAATATAAGAAGTGCTGGGGCTTTCTCATAGTGCTCTTGATATATAGGGCCCAGACATTCTGCCAATTCTCCTTGAGCAGTGACACCAGGAAGTTGACAGCCTGATGGATGTTGTACACAAGCTCGTCATCTGTCATCTTGACCTGACCAACAGCCACAGCCAGACACAGGACCTTCTGCATCTGGAACTTGATCGTGGACTTTACTATGTCAACTTTGGCCACCATGTTTTCCTTGTGGGTCAGCAGAGAAGGGAACTTACCAGCCTTA